CTGGGATCATGACCTGAGCTGAAGGCAGACACTTAACGACTGAGTCACCCAGGCGCCCCTAAAAAAGAACTTCTTACAAAGCTACACTAATTAAGACACTGTGTTACTGGTGTAAGGATAGACACAGATGAATGGAATAAAATTGAGAATCCAGAAATGGACCGTTGCTTTTATCAGCAATTACATTCCAATGGGGAAAGATTCTTTTCAACAAATGATGCTGACACCTAGATATCCACATGACAGATCAGTGAAGTCAGTCCCATTCATCATACCATACACAAAAATGAACTCAACATGGATGAAATTCCTAAATGTTAAGCTAAAACTGTACAACTTCTAGATGAAAACATAGATGTAAATCTTCCTGACTTTGGATTACCAACTATTCCTTAGGTGTTTCACCATAAGCATGGTAAGAAAAGAAAAAAAGAAACTGGATATCATCAAAATTAAAAATTTTTGTGCTTCCGGGGGCCCGGCTGGCTCAGTCAGAAGAGCATGTGACTCTTGCACTCAGGGCCATGAGTTTGAGCCCCATGTTGGGTGTAGGGATTACTTAAATAAGTAAATAAACGGAAAAAAAGATTTTTGTGTGTGTGCTTCAAAGGACACATAATCAGGAAAATGAAAAGACAACTCACAGAATTGGAGAAAATTTTTGCAAATACTATATCTAAGAAGGGACTTGTATCTAGAATATAAAATTGCAACTCAATGATAAAAAGACAACCCAATTTTAAAAGGGACCTGAATAGACGTTTCTCCAAAGAAGATATACAAATGGCCTATAAGCCATGAAAAGATGCTCAACATCATTAGCCATTAAGGAAATATACACAGATTCTTAAGCAAATATTAAATTGAATTCAGCAATATATGAAAGTAATTATATACCATGCCCAAATGAGGTTTTAAGGATGCAGCCTGGTTCAGTATTTGAAAATCCATCAGTGTAAACAGGCTGTTTAACAGGCTGAAGAAAAATCACATGAGCATGACATTCAGTGCAGAAAAAGCTTTTGAAAAAAACAAATTCTTGATAAAACTCTCAAAAATAAGAATAGAGGAGAAATTCCTCTACTTGATAAAGAGAGTCCACAAAAAAAAAATCTACAATTAGCTTTATACTTAATGGTGAAAAATGAAATCCAATCAGTTGCTTTTCCTGTAAGATTGAGAACAGAGTGTATCTACTGTCGCTGTAACAGCACTCCAACTGGTCTTAAGGGTTAACTTGCTTCCAGCTTATGCACTCCTTGCTTGCCGACCAAAGTCCTTTGGTCTGTAGCAGACTTAACATAACCTCCTTGAGATTTGCAGACCGCTGGCCTTGAGGAATGAAGGACCCAACTTTCCTGGAAGATAAAGTCTGACTAAATTTGAAAACTGCTTTATTTATTTATTCACTAACGCCAGCAAATCCGTTCAGGGTCATGTCGACAAAAGACTAACCTAACCGCCTGGGCACCTTCTTCTCCTGCACATAGTCCTCCTCCCTTTACCCATGACTTCTCCTTTAAAGCCTTCCAGGCTCCCCTGGGCATGGAAGATGGTCTTTGAGATGTTAGTTCACCATCTTTCCAGGTTGCCGGCTTCCTGAATAAAGCAATCTTTCCTTTCCCACCATCACTTGTCTCTTGAGTATTGATTTTCAAGTGGTGAGCAGCTGAACCTGAGTTCAGAACCAGTTCTCAATTTGTCACCAGTCCTATTACACAAAGTGCCAGGAATTGTAGCCTACTCAAGAAGTCAAGAAAAGGAAATAAAAGGCCTTCATATCAGAAAGGAAGAAATGTTCTGTAGTATTAATGTCAATATTCTGGTTGGGATATCATACTAAAGTTTTGCAACATGTTGCCCTTGGGGGGAACTGAGTAAAGGATACAAGCATCTCTTTGTATTATTTCTTACAACCGAAAGTTAATATACAATCATCTCAAAATGTTTTTTTTTTTAAAGATTTTATTTATTTGACAGAGAGAGACAATTGTATGGATTGGGCCCAAATTCCTTTTATTTTTATATGCTTTTCATTCTTAGCATTGCAGGGAAAGAAAAACACATTAATACTATTGGTTAGAGTATGAATTCTCCTATATCATGGTACCTAGAGGGGCCATATTTTTTTAGAACATGACTTTTCGCTTCCAACAAAAATAACTCATTCACTAGGCATGATGAATTGTTCAACAAGGATGCCAGATGTGAGCTTGGGCAGGTTTTGTTTTACATAGCTGATGTCAGATATCCAATCAGTTGCTAGGAAAAGAAGCACAAAATGCAAGAAATTGCCCCAAGCCCGTACAGCTGACCAGTGAATTGGGAGGGAGTGATAATGGTCAATAATCCTGGCAAGAAACTTCTTTCATAGGATCTATTGGTTCCTAGTACGTTTTCGATTGAGAGGTGGGCAGAGGGGCAAATAATGATAGACTGTGTAGTCTTGCTAGAGGGGTTTGGGTAGTAGAGCCCCCAGGTTGAGGATTATTTGCTTCCCTTTTAAAAAGGTAAGTTTGGGGGGCACCTGGGTGACGAAGCCGGTTAAGCTCCAACTTTTGGTTTTGGCTCAGGTCATGATCTCAGGGTGGTGAGAGTGAGCCCTGCAATGGGCTCTGCACTCAGTGTGGAGTCTGCTCGAGATTCTCCCTCTCCCTTGGCCCCTCCTGCTTGTGCTCTCTCTCTCTCTCAAATAAAATGTAAGGAAAAAAAAGTAATTTTGGGGGAACTTCTAGGGAAAATTGAACTTACTATAAGATACACATAAGAATGCATGAAGTTTGTTGTTTATTTTAAAAATTTAACATTTATATAGTTGACCATGCTTGCACTATCTCTGGAATCAGGTAACAATGTATTATGCGCAGGTTTTAGGGCATGTATTACCTATTTACAAAAAAGAATAGGTACCCAGATTTCCTATAAGCCTGTCTCAGTATTTTACTCAGGTTTTTGTTAAAGGCTTAAGTCCAGAAAACTGCCACCTTTTCACCTTTGCCACAGGTTCTACGGGTGTCCCCAGCATATGGGTTACACTTTTAAGTGTATGAACGACGTAGAGTGGAACTAGCACTGGATTGAGAGGAAGAACACTAGGGTTCTCAGCCTGAGTTTCACTCAGTAGTCGTGACCTTGAGCAAGGTTTTTCAACTGTTTTCCTGGGGTTCAGTTCCTTCTGTGTTGAGTAAATATTTGCCTACTGGTTAGGCGGGTAGGAGCTCAGAGCGGCACAGAGATGGTGACGAGGTGCCCCCTTCTCAGTTCTTTAGCACAAAGCAGCCGACTGAGGTGGTTCTAAGGGCCCGTGAGTTTCTTGAGACCACTTGTCACTCCTCAGCCAGATTTTGCTGGAGTAGAGTTAGCTGGTGCTCAACAAATGAGTGAATGTGTGAGGGAAATGAATGAAAAACGGACGAGGCATCGCGCAGTTATCTAGCGAATTCCTGTAAAAAATGACAAAGATGCCGCCTTCCCCCTGTGCTTTAAACCACTGCGGGAACCTCACACACTTCAGAGGGAAAGCCTTTCTGATTTCCCTGGGTAGAGAGGCAGGCCGCAGAGCGGTGGGAAAGAGCCGGAGCTAGCCCGTCCGCCGCCGCGGCGCGTGCGCGCGCCCGCCCCGTCCCTCACCACGCGCCCGCCCCGCCCTTCGTCACGCGCGGCCCTCTCACTGCGCGCGACTCGGGCAACTGCGAGCGGTGCTGGTGGCGCGCGATCTCCGCGTCGATCCGGGCTGGCGGCGGCGGCGCCGCGCGGATGGGTGGGATCGTGGCGGAGCTCCAGGCGCCGGGGCAGGGGCAGGAGAGAGCCATGGCGGCGGCATCCGGTCTCCGCGCCGCGGCGAGGTGAGGGGCCGCCTCTTCACGACTGAGGAGGCCACAGCTGCCCGCCTGCCTTCCACGCGGGCCGGGGCTCCGGCATGGCCGGGATCATTAAGAAGCAGATCCTGAAGCACCTGTCCCGGTGAGAGCGCCAGCGCCGTCCCCCAGCCGTCCCGGGGCCCTTCCTAACCCCCTTCGACCCTCCTCCGGTACGCCCTCCTTCCGGCCGGTCCCCTCCTTAGCCCGAGCGGGTACTCCGTGGCGGCCTTCGCCTGAACTCGAGCTGGACAGTCTCCGGCCCTCTCGGCTGGCCCCGACCATTGTCACCACTCTGTTCTTCCCTCGCCCTGGGCCCTCCGGTGCAGGGTTCTTCTGCCCTTGCGGGGGTGCCCCGAGCTTTCCTCTCGACCCTCGCAGCCTCCTTAAGCCTCCCGACCCTCAAGGATCTCCTGGCCGGCTGCCCCCGGCTCAGTTCCCACACCGCCGACCAGGTCACCCTGTCCTCGCTTGCACGCCCCCCCCCCGGCCCCCCACTTAGTTTTCACTCCTTATTCCAGACAGGTGTTGGGGATGCCTTAATACTTTTAGCCAGCCTTTGTATCGCAAGGGGAGAGTGATTCTAGCCTTGTACGCTCTAGTGGTTTTCTGGAGGTAGGAGTAGGGGGTGGAGCCAGTCAACAGGGGACACGGGCGTTGCACTACTGTATCTTTCCTGGTCTTCTCATTGCCTGGATGAGTGGTAGGTGACACACTTTTGCTGCCACTGTATCCCTTTTTCTGGCTGACACTCTGGCTTATTTACTGTTATGATTTTGAATTAGTAATTAGATTCAGATACATCTGTTGGTTAATCACCATGTTATAAAAGTAAAAGCAGATTGGAGGCTGGAGCTGGAAGGTGCCTTTAGACTCTTTAATTGGATTATCTTCCTAATAAATTCTTTCTCAGGTAGCACTAATCTAGGTGTTCCATGAGTTTGGTTGTTCTGTTTAAAGATTTAAAAGTAGGACTAATGATTGTGAAATGGTATAGAAAATTTAACTAAAGGAAAACTATTAATTTGAATAAACATAGACTCAGAGAATTTTAGGATTTAAAGATGATCTCACCTAAACAGCATTGTGTTTAAGAGCCCAGACTCTTTCTGGTTTACTTTCTTCAACTGTAAAATGAGGATAGTAATAGTAATCTAACTCAAAGGGTTATTTTATTTTTAAAGATTTTATTTATTTGAGAGAGCATGAGTGGTGGGGAGGGCTAGAGGGAGAAGGAGAAGCAGACTCCCCACTGAGCAGGGAGCCCCACCTGGGGCTATATCCCAGGACCCTGAGATCATGACCTGAGCCGAGGGCAGATGCTTAACCTACTGAGCCACCCAGGTGCCCCTCAAAGGGTTATTTTGAGGGTTACATGAATAAATATATGTAAAGACAGCACAGTGCCTAGCACATAGTAAGTGCTCAATAAAATGTGAGCTTATAGTTATCTTTTGGGCCATGGCACAAATTGTGTGACAATTTGATATAAGCCATAGACTTCATCAGAAAAATCTGCATATGCAAACAGGTCATTTTTTATGTAAATTCTGGGGGAGAGTTATGAACCCCAAAAGCACATGCTTGAATCCTGCAAGGCCTCTTGAAACTAAGTGAGGTTGTTCCCTGACTAGTTCCACTCTCTTATTTTATGTCTGAGGAAACTAAAGCCTAGAGAGGATAAACAACTTGCCCAAGATGCAATGGAAGGTAAGGTAGTGGAATAGAACCCAGTTTGCTTACTTGCTTGCTTTTTAAAAGATTTTATTATTTTTAAGTAATCTCTATACCCAACCCAGGGATCGAACTCACAACCCTGAGATCAAGAGTCACTTGTTCCACTGACTGAGCCAGCCAGGCACCCCTAGAACCCAGCTTTCTAATTCTGGTATTTTTCCTTTAGTGCACACATATTCTCTGCACTCTCTATGAGTACAGAGTTTTTAAAGAAAAACTTTCATAATATATGCTGACATATTCAGTGGATCCTTAGTGAACAGAGTATCTCTTTTAGATGAAGTAGGAATAGGTATGACAGACATGGGGAGAAATTTCTGAGCTCTTCAGTGTTGTGTGGTTGACTAAGGAGGAAGAGGAAGAGAAGGTTATTTGGGGCTGCAATATCAGGGTTCCAGGAAAAGGTCGTAGGACATGGATCTGGTTGAGGGACAAGTCAGACTTCTTGGGCCTTTCTATTTGTTTATCCTGGAAAAATGGCCCAATCGTGTATGACATTTGGATCTCTGTATGGTCTCTCTGATACCTACAGAAGCCGGCCTGCCTGGAGGGGAATTACAGCTTCTGTGTCTTGCCAAATCTCATGGGGAAAGAGAGGATAGGGTATACTGAGTTACTATGTTAAAGAAACATTTGTAGGTGTTTAATAATTATTTGTTGATGATGACAGTGCCAGTTGACCTGGAGGAGAGTGTCTTAACAGCAGGAAGGATATCCCAGTGACTCTCATGTTTAATTTTGGTCATGAAGTTTCGGATATTAATAGTATTTTGTTAGAATGCATCTTCTTTATTAGTATTTTGGTAAACAAGATTTGAGGGAGGTGGTCTTCAGGATATTTTCGTTAAGTGCCTGTTCCAGGCCCTAATCTGGGCACTGGGGATTCAGCAGCGAAGAAATGTAAACATCTTTTAAGGGCTTTTAACCTATGGTTTGGATGACTGCTGTGTAGTACAAATAGCTTCAATGCACAGTAGTCATTTAAATAGACCTAAGAGAAGACCTTTACTTAGAAACAAAAGTAATCATTTAAAAAATATCCAAAATTGATTTTTTACTACATTAGATTATTCTTGTTTTAGCTCACCTTAGTTAATGACCTTTCGTAAGAAGAAATATGATTGATCGCCAAGTAAGTCAAGGGACTATGGCTCAGGAAAAGAGCATGGTCTGGAGCCAGAGAAGCCTGATTAGCCTTCAAGCTCTGTCACTTAAAGAACAGGTCAGCCTTTCTGAGCCTTAGTTTTGTTATCTGTAAAAGGTGAGAATAAGGAAGAATACCATGTACCTAGCAGAATTTTTTGAGGATTGGGGATAAACTATTATAATGCCTAGCATGGAAGTAGGTAGCTATGGAAGTAGGTAGCTATGTAAAGAGTAACTGTTATAACATGAGCGGAGAAGTTAGGGACGCTACCCTAGTATGGATGACAGTAACCCACCTGACTGGCTCTTTTATTTTATTTATTTATTTTTTAAAGAAGATTTTATCCATTTATTTGACAGAGCACAAGCAGGGGGAATGGCCGGCAGAGGGAGAGGGAGAAGCAGGCTCCCCGAGGAGCAGGGAGCCCCACACAGGGCTCATCCCAGGACCCCAGGATCATGACCTGAGCTGAAGGCAGATGCCCAACCGACTGAGCCACCCAGGCACCCCCTGACTGGCTCTTTTAGAAACCTACCAGAAGTCTTGGGACACCTGGGTGGTTCAGTTGGTTAAGCATCTGCCATCAGCTCGGGTCATGATCCCACAGTCCTGGGATTGAGTCCCACATCGGGCTCCTTGCTCAGTGGGGAGTCTGCTTCTCCTTCTCCCTCTGCCTGCCACTCCCTCTGCTTGTGCTCTCTTTCTCTGTCAAATAAATAAATAAAATCTTAAAAAAAAAAAGAAACCTACCAGAAGTCTTGATTATTTACTCTAAATAGCTGTAGGAAATGTGATTCTGAGTGACAGAGACACAGCTGATAGACATGATAGATATTTTAAAAACATAAGTATTAGGTAAAATGCAGAAGCATACAAGATTTCATAGTCCTCTTGGAGAATAAGAGAGCCTACTGTGAGCTCAGCCCTCTTAGTTCCTGATCAGTGTCTCCCCTCATTATTACTCATCCTCCTGAAGAGATCATCGTGGCCAGCCCCCAGGGGACAGTGGGGAGCTGTAGGCTCAGAGTGGCCCACTGCTGGCCCAGGGTTTGTGGAGGTTAAGGTTTGTCTCAACTTCCAGGTCCTGCCTCTTTGTACTAGACTTTATTATCACCTTCATTTCCTAAATAATTATTTTGTTCATTTTCCAGTAATGGTCAAATCATATATGCCTTTGTTTCCTTTCTGCATTTTTTTTGTGTTGCTTTAGAATAAAGCATTTTTTTTAACTTAGCAAATACTTAATAATAATAACCGACTGTATGAATAAGCACTTTAAAGTCTTATAATGATGTAATTCTCAGACTATCCTTATGAGGTAGTTATTAGGCCTACTTTATAATTGAAGAAATGACACACAGAGAGGTTAAGCAACTTGCGCAAAATCATAACTAGTAAGTGATGGAACTGGGATTCAAAGGTAGGCACTCTGATTCTCTTTACTACTCTGCTGCTGTACACTTCTCATCTACTGAATATTTCAAATTGAATATACTCTTGTCACCAGCATCCATGTGAAGAAACAGTATTGCCAGCACCTACGAAGCCCTCTTGTGTCTTCTTCTATCATTGTCTTTATCAAGGGGTAACCACTGTCCTGATTTCTAACAACACAGATTAGTTTTATCTGTTTTTGTTCTTTATATAAGTGGAATCATATTGTATGTATGCTTCTATGTCTGGCTTCTTTAGCTCAACATTTTTGTGAGATTAAACCCTGTTGCATCAAGTTGTAGATTCTGCATTTTTATTGCTGTATGGCATTCTATTATGTCAGTGTACCTCAGTATATTTATATATTTTACTATTGATGGATATTTGGTTAGTTTCCCAGTGTAGGGCTATGATGAACAGTGCTGCTAGGAACATTCTAGTATATGTCCTCTGGTGAACAAATGTACACCTATCTGTTGGGGATATACATAGGAGCAGAATTTCTGGGTTGTAGGATATGAACATGTTAAATTGTAATAGATATTATTAAACAGTTTTCCCAAGTGTCTGTACCAATTTGCACTTCCACTGGAAGTGTTTGAGAGTTCTGGTTGTTCTACATCCTTGTCAACACTTGGTATTTTCATCTCTTTCATTTTAGCCATTCTGGCGGCTGTGTTTTGAAAATTTTTTTACTTCATCTGTGGTAAACCAGATGGCCACTTTATTTTCGCGTCTGTTTAGTTTTTAAATTCTGATCTATTGGTAAATTTTAGTCAGAAGCAAGT